GGGACAGGCTTGTAGTAGGTGAAAGCAGCTATGCTGGTGCTGCTCCCTCATCCCCTTTTAAGGTAGCATGCGCCTGTGCTAGGCTCTAAAATAGAGGACAAAAAAGATGGCCCTTGCTCCAAACAATAATGATCTCAATATAAGCTAACTATTTCAGTTAGTGGGGATAATTGTTTTGGTTTTTTTTAAGCTGGAATAATTATACTGGACCATCCCTGCTGTAGACCCAGTTACTTTTATATCAAGGTACCTTGCACCAGTTTAGCTTGTTCCCATCCATCACAGGCATACACTTTATTAAAATAGTTTAACTCGGGTGTACCAGAGTGTGTACCCTGCTTTCCAATAGAAGGGAATGGTCAGCAGGGTGTACGTGCTGGAGATGGAAACTGCAGGTTGCTTGCACCTTCCCCTTCTCCGGTGTCTCTATTGTGGAAGACCAGGACACAATATCTTAACTATATACATGGTTTATTCAGATGCAGAATAAAAGGGGAGGGGATAGAATAAACTGGATGGGTAATAAAGATAAATATTTACATATAATACATCAAGCCAACAAATAACAGAACAGGTAAGTATAGCAGTCCCCAAGATCCACAAGAGAAACTTCGCCCACGGAGCCTCAGAGGGTAAGTTTGTCCCAGCAATTGATAGGTAAGCACCCGCAAAATATAAAGCACAGTAAATAGTTAATAAACTCACCAGAATAGAAAACACAGCAAGTGATTAATAAACACTTCAAAATATAAGGCATGGTAATCCCAAATACCCACTTCTTTAGAGGAGTCTCTCTCTCTAGCCTAACCCCCTCTGATGGGGCTATGTCCACTGTGTCCCTCCCCAGTGGGAAACCCCTTGCCCAGGATCTCGTGCTTCCCGGCGAGTAGGGGTCCAGCAAGGGTTCCCGGGGTTTTGTCCCCAGCTAGGCAAGCGGCTTCTGCAGTGGGTGCTCCACCTCAGGCCCTGCGTGGGGTGTGTGGCTTGTTCACATACCCAGATGGCTCAGCCTTCTCAGCAGGTTGCAGGCCTGGGCCTCCTCGTGCATGCCCAGGGCTGGGGCTCCAGTACAGGCCCGCTGTGCTGCGGAGCCTGCGCTGTCGCGTCTGGCAGTGGGGAATGGGGCCCAGACCACCCCCTAACCCCTCCACGGGCCCTCAACCCAACAATGACTCATGGTGCAGTGGTGTCTGCTCCAGTGCTGGCCTCGTGCCGGGGTTGGAGACCTGAGCCACTTCAAGCAGCTCCCAAGGTCCCTCTCCCTCTCAAACCCTCTGTGCACTGTCCAGCCGTGCTGGGGTTGGAGACCCAAGCTGCCTTGAGTGGCTCCCAAGATCCCAGTCCCTCGGATCCTCCGTGCAATGACGCCTGCACCAGCTCGCCATGCTCTCTTGCGGCAAGGGGTTGGTGACATGGCCGCTTGCCACTCCTATCTGATGGTGGAGTCTTCCAGTTGCCCAGAAGAGCCTGAAGTACCCCCTGGGTAGCTCTTCCCTAGCTCTTCCTCTGCCCCGGCTTCTTCTCTGTCTCACGTTGTCTCCCCCGTGTGCTATACACACAGCTCCTTATATAGGCAGAAACAAGATTGAAGATTGGCCAATCGGGGCGGGGAATAGTAGAGCGCAGTCTTCAATTAGGTCCACTCCTCGCCTCACCCGATGGAGCAGGGTGGACTCCTCCTGAGGCTTCTCCCCTGCTGGTCTCCGATTGGTGGGTTTGCCCCACCAATCACTTTGGCAGTTCTCTAAGCCCGAGGAACTGGGTGAAGATAGGCAAGACCGCCACAAAAAGCACCTTTCTTCTGACAGACTAGGGGTATTGACATGCCTTAACTATGCTATCATTAAAGAGGTGCATGTTCATGTATAGACAAATCCATGCTACCCCACTGTGCATGTTTTGTACCTCAAGGAAGAGTCTTTTCAGGCTCTTTGCCTTCAGGAGTGATGTCTCTTACACAAGTCTTTCTTCTCAGGGCTATACTTAAAGTCCTTGGTCTGGACAATCCCAAAAGCAGATTACTGCAGTGGGTTTTCTAAAAATAGCTTCCTTTTAGTCCTATAGCCTCAACTCTCAACAGGCTGATTCCAAGGGCTGGTTTACAAACAGTGTTTAAACAGGAGTTTTGCTGTATTTCTTTTCTAGTGTCTTTATCACCATCATCTCCCCTTCTCCCAGCCCCCTTTTTCAGTATTTGAAATTTAGAAGAGCTGCTTGCTCACTTGCCAATGACTGGGGTGTCTGTCTTTGTTTTCCAGGGCATGGCGAGAAAACATCTCCTTGAAAGAACTTCAGCGCAGGGGGGTCTGCTTGCTGAAACTGCAAGCGGCCAGTCAAAGAACTGGGCTGTATGGACGACTGCTTGTAACTTTTCAGCCGAGAAAGTATGAGTCAGATGTGGAGTTGCCCTATAACAGCTTTGGGCCTGGTATGTAACATTTCTGTAGATAAAAAGGGAATCGAGGGGAAAGTTAATAATGTGTTTTATAATATCCTTTATTATGTTTCTGAAAAGCTAAGCAATGGAGGGAAATACAGTGAAAAAATGGTAGTCATATTCTGTTCCACCTGTTAGGCTTCGAAGTGGACTTATGCACCTAGGTGTGATCTTATTCCATCCTGCCCAGCTCTTTGGAAAACAGTTCATGTAAAAAATAGATAGTTCCTTTCTCCTTCTCATTGCTTTTTTGTTGCTTAGTTGCAAGACTAAGATGATGGAATATTGATTTTTTTAGAAACTTGATCAGGGTAGAATAAGATTGCTCTTAAGCACCATTTACACTGCTAATAGGTGGAATATGACCTGGCCTTTAATAGTATGTTGAATCTACAGATCTTCATAAAACCACCATTTCATAATTAAGCCCAACAGAGTGTGATCAGCAGAGACCCATCTTGAAGATACTACAAAAACTGGGCTGTTCTGAGCTCCTAATCCATTTGAAATTGGGTCACTCTCGTTTGTTTCTCAGCCCAAATAGCTGACGTACATCTGAGCCGTCTCTTGGAAAGAGCACAATGTCATGTCCTCTTGCGTATTGTAGAGAAAAGAGTATCTGAAATGGATTGTCTGAAGTTCAGGGATGTGAGAGCTTTCAAAAAGCCCCTTGAAACCTCATCTCCCCAAGTGCTGTCTCTGTAAGAGCACTTCATTGCCCATCTATGGCAGAAAAGCTGGCATGAGCTGAAGTTTAATGCATTGGGTGTGGGGATTACTGGTGTCTGAATACTTTTAGGCTGTATCCCTAAGCAAACTGATGTCTTAGGAGGTGGAAAGCAAAGAAAGGGAAGGGGTGTATAACTGATACATTGGTCTTTGTCATCTAAGAGGAGGATAAATCCTTTCTTTAAGGGTTTGACACAAATTATAAATAGGGGTGCACCGATAAAGATTTTCTTGACTGATACTGACAGCTGATTATAAACCAACCATATCAGCTGATGCCGATCTGATAACCAGTATCTCGTAATAATGCAAGGCATTTTAAATTACTGACAAAAGCCTTTTATTTAGGCCTCGTATGTCACATGTATCAGTGTCCCGGCACTTAAAAATGTTGTTGGGGGTTCTTGAATTCAAACTTGTTGAATGAGCTTTAGTTCAAGCATCGCTGCCACCATTTTTAAACACAGGGCACTGTGGCACTTTAATTAAAGCGGCTTTCAGAGCCGCTACAATTAATTGAAGTGCTGCCCCCCACCCCCACCTGCCCATCCCCAGAGCACATGTAAAAGTGTCAAGGGCTAGGTTCCTGAGCCTGTCCAGCAGAGCTGAGGGGGAAGGTGTGAGCCTACCTGGCTGCCCAGGGCTGGGTGGTCTCTGGGCCAGGCTCCCTGCTCTCCTACCTCTACACAGGGCAGGGCCACGGGACTATTCCAGGCCTGGAGAAACCTCAGGGCTCTCCAACCTGCTGGGTTTTCCAGAAAGCCCTATGCTGGCTGCTCATTCGCTGCCTTCCCAGCAGTGGGGGGCACAACTTGCCACCCCCACTGCTGCTGGGGGAAAGGCAGCAGAGTGGAGAGCCTCGAGCCCACAGCAAGCAGCCCACATTTGCCCCGCACACAAATCTGGGGCAGCACATTCCCCCTCCCCCATGCCTCCCCTAGCGGGTGCATGCAACAGTGGGGAGATGCCCCCCACACACCCCCTGGACAAGCCTTCCATGATTCCATCCCACTCCCTGCCACCGGTCCCATGCACCACCCTGGCTGGGAAGTGCCCCCTGCCCCTGCCTCACTTCCTCACCATGGGGGCCTTGGTCTGCCCCATGCCCCTTCTCCATAGACTTACCTTCAGGGAGCTGCTTTCCACGCTGCCTGGCTGTATTCTTGGCCACATGCATGTGTGCAGCCACATGCATGTGGGCCCCCTGTGTCCTGCTCCTGGCAGCCCCTAGCAGGACCCTTTGCAGGCTAGAATGCTGCCTGCCTGCAAGGGAAAACCCGCTGTTTCCCGAGGGAACCCAGTCATCCGGGGGGCCCTGGCCCTATCGGGGGGAGGGAACCCAGGTGTCCGGGGCCCTGGCCAGAAGGCATAATTATCGGTAAACATTATTGGCTACGACAACCAAAAAAAGCCAATAGCCGATAATGTCATTTCCCTTTTATCGGTGCTGATCTGATAGGCAACTAATATATCGCTGCACCTCTAATCATAAATGTCCTCTGTGGATATGAATTAACACGGGTCTGCTGACTTCAGTGGAATATGTCACTTTACACTAGCTGAGGGAGTGGTCTGTGGGTGGCTCAGAAGGGCTCCTTTTTAGGCTCTGTCTTCCTTGGCTTTTCCCTAGTCAAATGCTGAGTTTTGTTTTCTCCTCTGCTTCATTCTTCCAGGTGACATTGTGGGTCTTTATGAGTCCACTGATCAGGGTGATCTGCTCTCAACTGGAATTGTGACCCACGTAACCCCCAAGTTGGTTACCATCGCCTTTGAGGAATCTCGGGATGGCCTGTTAAGCTTGGACAGGGAGAGTTCTTATCGCCTGCTGAAATTGGCCAATGATGTCACCTACAAGAGGCTGAAAAAGTAAGGACTTCAACACGTAGCCTACAGTTACCCGTAACAACTCTAATGGCTCCCCACTCAGTTCAGGATCAAGTTTAAAACTATTCTGTTTTTAGGAAACCCTCCAGGAGCCTGCCACATTTTTACCCCACAAATCTTTTCTCTTCCTACCACACTCCTCTTAGTCCTTTTATAAAATCTTGCTTCTGTAGATCAGGCTAGGCTTTTCTATACATCCTGACACTAGGAACTGCATCCCAGCGTGTCTCCATCTCATTTTCTCTTCACTGTGGCTTGAGATGTCCTCTGAGAACCCACTCTTCCCTCCTCCTGCTGTATCTTTAAATTTTTTCCTTTTCGTTGTTATTTAACTCTGTGGTTATATTATTTTCCTCTTTAAAGCATTATCTAACATAGTATCTGTGGATAACATCACACAAAATAAATTGGTTGTATCTTGTGAGGTATCTTTTTAGGGAGCCCAAGTGCTTTGACACCTACTTGCTGCACAATCATGTTTGTAGAACAGTGATTCTCAACCAGGGTACAGCAGGGAGCTGTGTAATATTGGCGGTGTTGGGTGTGGAAACACTTACACGTGATTCGTGAGATTAACCCAGAGACTTCAGATAGGAATTCACAGTATCAGAAATCTGTTGTGGTCTTTCTGAGTTCTTTGCAACAGCAGAATTGCTCTACTATTTTTTAGTTGTGCTAGGGTGATGTTGTAGCCATGATGATCCAGAAAATAGGTGAGACATAAAGATTTTCTGTGGGTGGTATATTTTATTGGACCAACTGCATGGTTGGGGTAGACTTAGATAATCTTTCAAATACAGTGCATTCAGGTCTGAGGGAAAAGCAGGCACAGAGAAAGATTGATAGCAGTTTGCGCAACTGTGAACTTGGAGAATGTAAAAATTCCCAGGGGTAGGCCTACAAGCAAACTGGAGGAGGAAGGATAATGTAATTAGTGGAAGATCAAGACCTTTCAAAAGGAAAGTAGGTTGTTAACACTTGTAGCGTAGAGAAAAATTTCACGGAGGCAGGTAGATTGTTGTGTGCCATGAAGTCAGTATCAGTGGTCACCCTCTGGTTATTAATATCTAGACAGCTTATGAATTTTTGTTTCCAGGCTTGTCTGTTGAAGGTGTTTTGTAATTTCCCTTAAGCATGAGGATAGTGAGGACATGAAGTGAGTGGTTGTTCTGTGGAAAGTGTTCTTCCACACATGTTTACGTATCTTTATCTTTAATCTTGTTCCTGTGATCATTCAGGCTGGTGGGTAGTTTTAATCTGATTTCACCCACATAGTTTCCTTCAGGGCATTTGGTGCACTAGATGAGAGAGACCACATTTTGGGATAAGCAAGTGTAGGATTCATGGATTCTCATGGGTATGGTTTGGGATGTTGATTGTTGTAGGAGTGGTGATGTGCTGACAGGTTATTGTTAAGGTAAGTGTTTGTCCCATTTGATGTCTTGAACAGTAGGAAGTTTGCTTCTGATGATGAGCTGGGCAAGGTTAAGAGGCTAGGGGGCTGGGAATATTTCTCTCAAAGTCTGATCTTTATCAAGTATAGGCTGTATTGTTCACTGATTCTTCTTATTGGTTCAAGCATAGGGTGGTAGGTGACCACTTGAGGTGATTGGTCACAGCGGGGTTTCTTTTTATATTGTGGAAGGTTGCTGTGGGGTATCTGGATGTTGCTTTCAAAGATGCAGTCTATTTCTCTGCTGGATTGTCTTTGTTGTATAAAGGCAGATTTCAGGTTGGCAAGCTGCATGTTGTGAGTTATTCCCCTTAGAGCGCATTTTTCCATTGTCAAGAATAAGAAGAGGCCAACAGCGGGTGCTTTCTGAGGGGTGTCCTGCATCTATCAAGGTTGAAAACCGTTTGTTCTGGAATGTGATGTTCATCCATGTGTCAGGCCTCCTGGGAGCTAATGTGCTGTCAATTTTCCCCTCCCTGGAAAATAGTGCAGTACAGCACAGTCTCAGGTCTAAAAGGACAGCTCTCACCTTGAAAACCAGGCTGTGTACTAGGGATGTGAGAGGTTAAATGATTAATCGTTTAACCGATAAATGCAGCAATAACTGGTTAGCTTACTGGTTATGCTTTAGCTTGGGGCCAGTGCAGTCTGGCATGGAAGGGAAGCTGTGGAGTACCTCAGTCAGAAGGCAGGAGGGGGGGGCGAGGGGAACTAGTACCCAAAGGCTAAGAGGAAGACAGGGAGCAGCCCAAGGACTCCTCAATTAATCAATTAGCTGCTCTCATCTGTGCTCCCTCCCTCCCAGCACAGGGCTTCACCTGGGCTGCTTTGTCTGGCTGCGCTTGCCTTCCCCTCCCCAACCAGTCAAAGGGCCCCTGAAGCCCAGAGTGGGCTGCTATGTCAGAGCCACTGTGTTATTGGTCAGTCCTTTAACCGATATAATTAGAGGAGGTTAAAACAAATGTGTCTTTAAACAATATTTACATCCCCACTGTGCATCTGATTGCTAGCGAGCATCCTAAGGCCCCTGGAAAAGTCTCAATTTGTATTGGGTCCCAGCACAGATACTAAGAATCTTCTGCAGGGTGAGCATGTTATGGTTGCTCATCAGGGTTTCTGGATACATTCCTTTAAATTCATAACCTTTGTATTCTTTTCTTTGGCAGAGCTTTAAATACATTAAGCCAGTATCACTCTGGTCCAGCATTCAATCTTATTGATGTCCTCTTCTTTTCCTCTGATCCAAGTCCACCGAGTGAAACACGTAAGAATTTCCATTTTGCTTCTCATTCTGAAAGTGAAGGGCAATACTGGTGGAACTGTTACGAGCTGGGCTGATGGTTAGGGAAGCCAAAGGTTGCTTGCAGCATGAGCAGTGACAACACATTGCTTTTCCCATGGTGCTCTACCACTGAGTCTTTTCCTGCCCTGCTGGTTCCATCTCTAGGGATGACATGGAATCTCAGCATCCAGGATCATTGAGTCCTTGGCTGCTCTATGACTGTGTGCTAATTCTAACCATGTGTTTTGTGAGACGGGTGCAAGGGACTGGATGGACACTCTGACTCGCTCTGTGCAGGATTCCAAAAGGGTTATGGGAAGTCTGTTGGTCACTGCCAACCTGGGCTAGATATTGGTATTGTATCTTGAGTTATTTCTCTGATGGGTTGTGAAACTATAGCTAGCAACACTGCACATCCAAATTTTGTATTGATTTACGGTTATTGGCTTAGCCTCTCAGCTGCTGTATAGAGCTGTTGCCCTTTGGAGCTAGGCTGAAGAGCTGGTCTGTTATATATTGAGATGCTAATCTTCATGGCATTTTGTATAAACTGAGCAAGATTTGCAGTGCCTCTGAATGCTTTTCTGGTGAAATGTGTTTGTACGTGGGTCAGCAGTCCGAAAGGTAATTTACTTGAGGCAGATTTGTTTTACTTTACCGTTTTTTTCCCCCTGTAAACTCTGGAGGTCAGAGACTTTCAGGGCTCCAGCTGTATTGAAAATCCATTAACTCAGCCGGCATGGGAATTGAGTGAACTCAGAGCCATTCAGTTTTGAAACAGCCTGGGATTGCTCCTGTGTGCATTTTTCAATTTTTCTGATTGTGTCCAGTCAAGTCAGAGATGCAGTGTGTTGCTTTATGTTTCCATCATTGAACACTTAAAAAAAAATAAATCCCTAATAACTTGATTTTGTCTGTAGCTGCTCCAAACTGCTTTCAAAACATTGAATAACCTTCAATTCTGATCTTTGGAAGATGAGGAATGAAATTACAGAGCTTACTTCTTTCAAGAAATGACTGAGAAACCAAATCTGTCCATCTACTTAATGGCCCTTATCATTGTAATATATGAAAGCTTCACAGTCAATAATACTTAAGATGATAGGGAAGTAGTATTATCTGTATTTTGCAGATGGCGAATGGAGGTATGGGGAGGTTAAGTAAGTTACATAGGGTCGCATGAGAAGTCTCTGGCCAGGTTGGGAACAGAACCTGCACCTCCTGAGTCCCAAATTAGTGTCCTAGTCCACCATTCTCAAGCCATTTAGTGTTAACCAACTGATAGCACATCGACTGATGGAGGTGTGCTTTTCCAATTTCCCCTGCTTCTGTAGGCTGACCAAAGTCCTATAGACTGTTCTCCTATCTGCTGCAGCCTCCTCCTGTTCTCTGCCTGCCATGGCAGCTGTATTTTCTGTTATCCTGGTCACCTGACTCCTTTGTCCATGGGCATTTCACACCTGGTAAAGTTTCCCTTTTTTCCCCACAGAGACACTCTTACACTTCTTCAGTATGGCTTGGCATAGATTTTCAGTGTAATATGCTGGGAATGAAGAATTAACATGAAAGTGAGCCATGCATCTATAATTCTCTGCACTCTGCTTACCGTGAATCATTCTCCAGTTGCTGCCTTCTAGCCATTTGGGTATCCAGGGACTCTAACAGATGCCATAAATTTATATTAAATAAGTTCATTAAAATTTAATTCTCTTTTTTTAAACAACTCTAACTTTGCATTCTCTGCAAATCCACCTCATCTAAATTTAAAAAAAAATCATTATCTCCCAATTGCACAGATGTGCAATAGTGACCATGGAAATGTTTGTCTCTCCAAGGCATTGAGTAGGTTGATCAATATGTAAATCCAGCTGCATTAGACAGGAGTTGTAGTATGTTAGCTGCAGCCAGCACCTTAGAACTCCAAACCTCGGTCACAGGGGAAAGCATATTGTCTGTTTGCATTTCCATAATATGTGGTTCCTTTTTAAGGAGGGAGATGTAGTACTGTTCTGGGCCTGAATAAGCATGACCTGACCTTTATATGTAGCCTACAAGGTGCTGTGCACTCTCCACTCCTGTTGACACAAAGCATTTGATGGTGCTCGGTACCATGCTGAGTCAGCCTCCTTCTCATGGAAGCCCAGGGGTGAATCCAGAGGGGGGTGCAGTGGTGTGGTTGCACCTCCCTTTCCTACACTGTGGGAGCAGCAGCTGTGGACTTTTTTTAAGTCCCTGAAGCAGGTAAGAATCCACCCCTCTCAGCACCTGCTTCCTTCTCATAAGGAAGCTTATAAGAAGTAGAAACTTGGACAAACAACTAGGAAGGAGTATAAGAGTATTGCTCAGGCATGCAGGGATGAAGTCAAGAAAGCCAGAGCACAATTGGACTTGAAGCTAGCAAGGGACGTGAAGGGTAACAAGAAGGGTTTTTACAAGTATGTCAATAACAAGAGGAAGATCAGGGAAAGTGTAGGTTCTTTACTGAATGGGGGAGGCAACCTAGTGACAGAGGATGCAGAAAAGGCTGAAGTGCTCAATGCCTTTTTCACCTCAGTCTTCACAGGCAAGGTCAGCTCCCAGACTACTGCACCTGAGAGCACAGTTTGGGGAGGAGGTGAGCAGCCAACCATGGTGAAAGAACAGGTTAGGGACTATTTAGAAAAGCTGGACAGGTATAAGTCCATGGGGCCAGACATGGTACACCTGAGGGTGCTGAGGGAGTTAGTTAATGTGATTGCAGAGCCACTAGCCATTATCTTTGAAAACTTGTGGCAATTGGAAGAGGTCCCGGATTATTGGAAAAGAGCCAATATAGTTTCCGTCTTTAAGAAAGGGAAGAAGGAGGATCCAGGGAACTACAGACTGGTCAATCTTGCCTCAGTCCCTGGGAAAATCATGGAGCAGGTCCTCAAGGAATCCATTTCTAAGCACTTGGAGGAGAAGAAGGTGGCTAGCAATAGTCAGCATGGATTCACCAAGGGCAGGTCATGCCTGACCAATTTAATTGCCTTCTGTGATGAGATGACTGGCTCTGTAGATGCAGGAAGACAGGTGGATGTGGTATACCTGGATTTTAGGAAGGCTTTTGGTAGGTCTCCCACAACATTCTTGCAGGCAAGCTAAGGAAGTATGGGCTGGATGAATGGACTGTAAGGTGGATAGAAAACTGGAGAATTGGGCTCAGAGAGTAGTAATCAATGTCTTGATGTCTAGTTGACAGCCGGTATCAAGTGGAGTGCCCCAGGGGTTGGTCCTGGGGCTGGTTACGTTCAATATCTTCATCAGCAACCTGGAAGATAGCATAGAGAGCACCCTCTGAAAGTTTGCAGATAACACCAAGCTGGAGGGAGTAGTTGATACGCTGGAGGGCAGAGCTAGGATTCGGAGTGAAGTAGACAAATTGGAGGATTGGACCAAAAGAAATCCCATGAGGTTCAACAAGGACAAATGCAAAGTCCTCCACTTAGGACAGAACAGTCCCATACACCAGTACAGGCTGGGGACTGACTGGCTAAGCAGCAGCTCTTCAGAAAAGGACCTGGATGTCACAGTGGACAATAAGCTGAATATGAGCCAACAGTGTGCCCTTGGTGCCAAGAAGGCTAATGGCATACTGTGCTGCACTGGTAGGAGTGTTGCCAGCAGGTCAAGGAAAGTGATTATTCCCCTCTATTCAGCACTGGTGAGGCCACAGCTGGAGTACTGTGTTCAGTTTTGGGCCCCCTACCAAAGAAAGGATATGGACAAATTGGAGAAAGTCTAGTGGAGGGTAATGAAAGTGGTTTGGGGGCTCGGGCATGTGACTTCTGAGGAGAGGCTGAGGGAACTGGGTTTTTTTGGGTTTTTTTTAGTTTAAAGAAGAGAAGACTGAAAGTGGATTTGATAGCAGCCTTCAACTACCTGAAGTGGGTTTGAGAGAGGATGGAGTGAGACTGTTCTCAGTGGTGGCAGGTGACAGAACAAGGAGCAATGGTCTCAAGTTGCATCCAGGGAAGTTTAGGTTAGATATTAGGAAGAATTTTCTCACTAGGAGATTAGTAAAACACTGGAACAGGTTATCCAGAGAGGTTGTGGACTCCCTATCCTTGGAGGTTTTTAAGACCTGCCTAGGCAAAGTTTGGCTGGGGTGATCTAGTTGGGGATGGTCCTGCCTTGAGCAGGGGTTTGGACTAGATGACCTCCTGAGGTCCCTTCCATCCCTAATTTCCTATGATTCTGTGATTCCCTTCCATGCTCATTGATACCTCCCCACCACTGAGCCTCTGCTCCTGGCTGACCCAGGGGCAGGAGGCTCCAGAGCTGCTCTGTGAAGCCCTTCTGGAGTTGGACAGAAGAGCCAGTTTTAGCTAGGGACAGTGGCAGCAGCAGCAGGTGGGTTCCTCCTCCCTGTTGGTCCTTCCAGGTGTTCTCTGGCTGCTAGCATGGCAGGGGGGAACCTTCGTGCTGCTGCCACTGTCCTCAGCCAACCCCAGCTCTCTGCACTTCTGCTTCCCTCAGTTGTGACTGGAGCAGGGAAGGAGTGGCCTGGACAGTGGACATGGCAGGGGATTCTCCCTGTGCCCAAAGGTGTAAGTGGAGAGGGCATGGTGGGGGAGGTTCTGTTGGTTGGGCCACTGTTCCAGGACCAGTCAGAAGAGCACCACCTACTCGCTCACTGTAGAGTAGTGTATGCATCCAAGGTGTGTAGTCACTTCCAACAGAACTGCTCTTTTCTGTTTCAGTCGCTGTCTCTCGATTTACTTTGTGAGTGGCACTCTGAGATCACTGCCAAATGCAGCCTCTTCAATGTTCCTTGACTAAGCATGGAAACCAACAGTTTTCCCCCAATGCAGTTTGTCAGTATCATTGAG